CTAATTGTAGTTCCATTGTACTACCTACTTTATCCCGCCGAAGGACAAGTATTTATTTGTGGAGGAAATATGGCCTATACTTTCCTCCCAACTAACTGGACAGAGATATATGTAACAGCTGTCTTGTTGCCTGATATAGCAATCTTAACCGGGGATGAGCCTGTCCCCATTCCTAGTTTAGATTACACCACAGGCCACTCAAAGAGGGCAATTCAATTTATTCCTTATTGGTAGGCCTAGAGATATCAGGAGCCTTAGGTATGGGGACAGCAGGGGTAGGGTTTCTGTCCAATCTTCCAGCCAGATTGTTAGTGATGTGCAGGCATTATCTAGTACCATTCAGGTCATTCAAGACCAAATACACTTGTTGGCTGAAGTAGTTCTCCAAAACAGAAGGGGACTAGATCTCCTAACAGCAGAACAAGTAGAGATCTCTGTGGCATTGCAGGAATGATGCTGCTTTTAATTGACTCCTTATCTAAAGTAGCTCTCCAAAATAACAGAGGGCTAGACCTCCTGTTAGCCGAAAAAGGAGGACTGTGCTTGGCTTTAGAAGAGCAATGCTGCCTGTATACTAGTAAGTCTGTATGCTAGTAAGTATGCTAGTAAAACAAAATTTAGCCGAACTCCAAAAAGACTCTGGGATGGGCAGAACAAATGTTCTCCTTCCCATCATGGATGACAAACATAATAACGACCATAGCCGGTCCTCTTGTTATGATTCTACTGTTAGTACTTTAGGTCCCTGCATAGTAAATAGGCTAACTGCATATATCAGGTGTCAGATGCAGAGCATAAAATTAATGATGGTTAAACAAGCGTATAAACTTGTCCCCCGAGATCTTTAGGTAAAAGATTTGACCTCAGTCGCAACATCAGAGGGGAATGTTATAACCTAAGCCCCCCTAACTATCGCAGACTAAGCTCTGTTCTGTATAAGCCCACCTGCTGCTTCCCCTCCCCTTCTCCCTTCAAATCTAACTAGGTTAAGTTTTAACTTCCTAAAGGCCATAAAACAAAGGCCTAAGGTAATAGCTCCTGACAACCCGGGTCTTCCCTACCCGGTAGCCCGTCACAAATTGTGTTAATTGCATTAGATTGTATTAGATAGTACATTCTTCACAAAAATAGCTTCGTTTGTATCATAGCAATACCTGTAACTTGGCCTTACTGTAAATGTGTGTTTTCCTTTCCCTCTGGGCAAAGGATTGATATGTCAATCAATGCTCTCTTCTGTAAAGAATTGTAAAATCTTACCTAATTGATATGTTAACCATTGTTGCCCGCTACAAATAGAACAGTTGTGGTGCTAAAGTAAGGTAACTAAGGTTGTTAACTGCTGTTAGACTTTTCTATTCTTTGCTAAGAAAAACAAGATTTCTTCTTATCTAAACTTGCTAGTATGCAGGGAGACTTGCAATTGCCGTTTCTGCTTTGTAGTGCGTCACACCCCCATCTCCCTCCTTACATTGTGTGACCAGCAGCTGTTTGTGGATTTACAAGATAAAAGTCCTGACTTTTAGCTGTGAGGTGCGCAGTCTCCAAATTGGCTCCTGGAGACTTGCCACCAGGCCTGGATTTTACCTAATAAAGCCTTTGCTTCCCAAATTTTAATTTCTTGCTTTCTTGGATTTTATACCGGGGTCCGAGTTATCACACTATAGATGCCCTCTGATGTTTCCCTGGCTATTTAAAGTCGTTTCAGTTTGTTGTAATCCCATTTGTGTCTTTTGGATCAGATCCTTTAAAAAGCCATTGCCTGAGACTGACTCCAGGGGGCGTCCCCCTGCATTTGGTTCCAAGAGTTCACTGCTCTGGGTCCTACTTCCAGGCCTTTCTCCCATACTGAGCTGAACTTTGTATGTCGTAAGAGCTCAGTGGCATAAGTACCTGCCTTGCAAGCAGGCAATCATGAGTTTGATCCCTGGTACTGATAAAAAAAAAAACCAAGACATTATAAGAGTCTGATATCGTTCTTCTGTGCGTGCAGCTCGGGTCCCCCAGAATCGATTATTAATACAGAAATCGTCTTCCCCACTGTGGGCTCTTGGTGACCGTCAAAAAACCAGTTTGTTGTAAAAACATGAATTTATTTCTGGGCTCTCTCTGCTCTTCCATTTATCTTCAGGTCTGTTTCTATGCTGATGATATGCAATATCATCAATAGTGCAATATCATATACAATATCATCAATATATACAATAGTGTTATAGAATATTTTGAAATCAGTAATACGGTGTCTCCAGCTTTGTTCTTTTTGCTCAAGGTTGATTTGGCTGTTTTGGGTCCTTTGAGTCATAGACTGGGGTTTTTGTTTGCTATTTCCATGAAGAATGTCATGGGGATTTTGATAAGAATGGCTGTAAACGAAATACATTCTGTTGTTGATTTTCTCTTCCATTCACTTTTAGCTTATTTTCAGCTTCCTAATTCTTCTGGTGGCTACTCCAGAGATGTCAGGATCCATGTTTAACTTACTGTTGGGAGTCATTGAAGCTGGAGATTGATCCCATGTGTGAGGCGTAGGCAAGGCCAGCCCAGAAAAAAACAGAGACCAAAACCAGCTATATAAACAAGTTGTCCCAGCACCAAGAAGGCAAGGGGCCCAGGCCTGCCAGAGTTACTTGTTTACAAACAAGTAAACTTGTGGACAGGCAGCTCCAGATCAGGGCCAGTGTGGCTTGGGATTTCAGTTCCTCCGGTCCACAGCTCTGTTTGCAGCATGAGCAACCGTCCTCTGTGGAGGGGAGAGTGCTCACGTGCCCCCGCCATGCAGAGCGCACAGCTGGTGAGCTCCTGGGGTCCCCCAGGCCCTGATCCCTGCAGAGAAAACTCAACCTGGTGCCAAATCAGCTGTGGCTATGCAAGGGCACCTGGGGTGGACTCAGAGCTGTGGATCCGCAGCTGTTCCTCCTCCAGCTCCTCAGGCCTGGAACCCAGCTTTACAACCGGGAAAGCAGGGTAGCAGAAGCGGCCAGTGAGTCCTCTGGAAGGGGGACCGGAGGTCGTGCTGGATTTTGACCAGGTCCACTGCGGAGATTTGGCAGGAGTTAAATGTATGACGCACACAAGGCTTAGTGTGAGGGACGCCTGCCAGTGCCTTCATCTCTTGCGACTTGCCACTTACTCCTGTTATTACTTCTGTCATCATTGTTCACCGGGAATGAGACCCAGGCCTGCGGCACCGAGTTGATTCCCTGGCTTTTTAGTTTTTGAGTCAGGGTCTCGATAAGTTGCTAAATTGCCCAGGTCGGGCGTGAATCAGCCATCGCCCTGCCTCGGCCTCCCAGAGTGCTGGGAACATAGGCGTGTGTTCTCACACCCCACATGGTTTCTGAGTCTCCCCATTGCACACTCTGCACGCTTTTTCCCATGACCTCGGCACAGGCAGTGAAGAGCCGGCTGCCCACTCCTGGGGTGGGTGGCCTCAGTCACTGCCCCAGGGCCCGGCACCTCTTTACCTCCTCTGCAGGGCGCCCACGCTCGCCCTGCCCCAGGAGGGAGGGTCGGTGACCTCTGTCTCCTTTTCTTTCTCCCAGGATTTTGTCTTGCTCTCTTTCCCAGTGGTAGAGTACGCATAGCCTAACACTCGAGCAGGCGGTTCTGGCCTTGAGGATAGTAGCGATGCCAAGCAACGTCACCCTCTGTCCTCGTCCCCTTCAAGGCCTGCAGACCTCAGCTGCCAGTCATGGTGCTTGAGCCCTGTGCCACCAGGCTGCCAGCCTCTCCCACCTGCCTGGGCCCCGCACCCATGCCCGCCACCTCCACAGGCCTCCATCATGACACAGACCGCAACTTTAACAGACTCAGGTGCCAGGTGAAGGCTGCCAGGGGCAAAGTGATACAGCTGCCATCAGTGATACAAACCCCCCAACCAACCTGCCTGTCACCCTGCACTCTGGGAGGCCGAGGCAGGAGAATCACGAAGCCTGCTGACTTGGTGAAAGAGACCCTGGCTTAAAATTAACAAAATAATTTGAAAAGGCAGAAGATGCAACTCAATGTAAAGGCCTTGGTTAGAAAGAGAGAGACAGAAAGACAGAGACAGAGAGACCTAACTGCTTTCAGTAGAGAAGCAGAGGCCAGGCTGAGATTCACACTCATGTGTTTTCAACCCGATGTGAGAAAAGACATGTGCATGCACACATTTGCCTCCTGGTGATGGGTACCTCTGTGCTGCTGCCCACACCTGCACGTCCACACAGGCATCCCTGTGTATCGCCAGGTGTCGCCTGTCGTCCTGCCCAGCTGCCCAGGAGGTACGGCCGATGCATCCACAGTGACTTGCCTGGCATGCGGTCCTCACACTAATGCTGTCACGGAAGGATACCATCCATGTGCGCAGCAGTGCAAGGCTGTCCAGTTCAGGCAGTGCTCTTGACCTTTGTCTCCAGGAATGGGCCTCATGGAAGATAGTGTTTCTACAGATCAGGAGTGGAGGGGTGATTTTGGATGAGTCCAGTGTGTTACATTCATTGTGTACTTTATTTTGCGGTGGGGGGGGGTGTCTCGCTGTGTAGCCCAGGCTAGGCTTGAACTCATGATGATCCTCCTGCCTCAGCCTCCTGAGTGCTGGCATTACAGGCGTGGGCAACCACCCCTGGCATATTTCTTCATTGCTACATTAGCTTCTCATAAGTAGCCACAATCTGCCCCCTCCACCAGGTGCATAGGGGGTCTAATGCCCCGCCCGTCTGTAGGACAGGAGCTCGAGGCAATGTTGTCATGCAGAGCAGCTGGAAACCTAGGCCCAGCGGCTCCTGCGGCTGCTCACCTCCCCGTGTGTGGCCCAGGGTTGGGAACCCTGGTGCAGGGAGAGGGGAATGAGTGTTCTCCTAAAGATTGGCTGTGAGATGCCACAGTGGGGCAGGGGAAGAGGAAGCATCTTCACCCCTGCAGGGCTGCAGAGGAGGGGGACAGGGTGGGACAGGCACCCCAGGGCTCCACCCACAGACTGTACTTCGGGACCTGCCGTTGGCCAGCAGCAAAGCTCAGTGCTCTAAGAAATAGGACTTTATTAGGAATTTAAAAGGCTATTGTAGATAGGATACAAATTTCATCATGGAGCTCTTGCGGTGGCTCAGCCGAGACCATAGAGCAAATTAAAAACCACGTCTGTGCCACGAAGCTCATGTGACCCGGGTAGGCAGAGCCATTGTCAGTGATTCTCAGTCCCCAGGCACAGACAGATGCCAGGCAGCACCCTCTGCAGGTATCCACACAGGTGTCCATGCAGGTCATCCTTCAGATGTCTATGCAGGTGTCCATACAGGTGACCTCACAGGTGTCCATGCAGGTTGTCCCTTAGGTGTCTACCCAGGTTTCCACACAGTGGACCTTACAGGTGTCCATGAAGATTGCCCCTCAGGTGTCCACACAGGTGACTTCTCAGGTGTTCATGCAGGCATCCACATGAACTGTCCCTCAGAGTCCCCATGAGCATCCAGGTGCTCGTAGCCTGACCCCTATCCTGCTGTGTCCTCATGTCTGTGTCACCAGTCATCCGTGATGATCAGGTTGGGATTCCTCTCTTCCTCGTCCAGCAGAAGTGCCTGGGTCTCTGGCCGGAACATAGTTCTCCGCAGTCTGGCAAAAGACAAGAGATGCCAATTAATGGACGCTTTGCTTCACTCTGTCCATCATCTCTTTCTGCCCAGGACACGCCTATGAGTCGGTATCCCGCCAAGGGACAACAGGAGAACCTAGATCTGCAGGGACTTTGATGAATGTTCAGCACCCATCCCACTCCAAATGATGACGACCACCATCGCCACCGCCACCAGCACCCGGACTTGTCACCACGTTTGTTTCTGTGGCACAAATTCTCAAACCCAACCGCGGTGACTTCAAACCACCAACTGGACGTCACTATCGGGGTGAGGAAGAGTGGCACATGGATGTCCCTGACCCCTAGGGAGCTGCTCTGATGTCACTGGACAGGCGAATGCCCAGAGCTGGTGACAGAGCACAGAGACAAGATGTGAGCGATGGGCAAGGAGGGGCTGGCATGAGCTTCGCATTTACAGAGAAGGTGCCGCTCATTCCTGTCCCTGCCTGTGGCCTCCAGGATGCTGTGACGGCCCTGAGTGACCTGAGCCGAGGACACTCGGGTCACCAAGCCGAGAGAGACAGCACTCCTGCCAGGGGCCAGGCCCAGGGCTGCGCAGGGGATGAGAACCAGGTGTCCGTTCTCTAGCAGACTCGTGCACCCTGTCTCTCTCTGGGCTCTGCTCACTTACGGCTCCCACTTACCCCCCCCTCCCCGCCCGGGGGTGGGATCTGAGCTCCTAGCACCCAGCAGGCATCTGGAAGCCTCTGTCGGCCTCCAGGAGGCTGTGAGGGGATACAGGGCTATGCCTCTGTCATCGTCATGGTCATTCTTGTCCCTTAGCTGACGAGTGCTTCCTGGAGCACCCTGCTCCAGAGGGAGGACGGGCAGTGGGAGAGCACAGCCCCACCCGGGTGCCATTGCCAGGGCAGAGCAGGAGCAGGCATGGATGCTGTGACCCAAAGGGGTGACAGCCAGCTGCCTCTAAGGCCTTGGCAAATGTCAGAATGGGGCAGAGACAGAGCCTGGCAGCCAGCACTTCTGGAGGGAGACGTCTCTACCCAGGGGACAGAGGGGAACTCTGGAGCTGTAAACCCAATACCTGATGTGGCCCCTTTCAAGGAGCCAGGCTCTGTGCCTGCCACCACAGGGACCTGGTGTCCATTGGGGGAACGAGGAAAGTGAATGGGAAAGACCCCAGCTAAGGGCGTGACCCCGTTCACATGACACTTCTAGCATTCCTAGGTGTCACTATGATTGTGCACACTGCAGTAGTGTAACTATGTGTAATACAAGTGCAACTACGACATGTTTATCTGTGCAAGTACAAATGTAATGTCTATCACAAATGCAGCTGCTCCTCAGTTTGTGGTGGATGGGGCTGCACCTGACTACCCTGCAGCCCAAGTCAAATATCCTGACCACAGATCACACAGCTCAATGGTCCTGCCAGGCCCAGCAGAGAGTCGTGGCTGTTTGGAGACAGCTTGGGACCCCCACCTCCACTCCCACACAGAGTCACCTAACACCCAGGACCCAGGACCCAGGACCCAGGACCCAGGACCCAGCACCCAGCACCCAGCACCCAGCACCCAGCACCCAGCACCAGGCCCCAGGCCCTCGGGGTGGTAAGTATAGAGGCACGCGTGGCTTTCTCAGTACTGGGCTTGATGGGGTACTGGGTACTGGGGCCGTGTGCCACAGTGCATGTGTGAAAACGTAGCTGTGTGCTGGCATGTGCACTGCAATGGTCCCAAGTACCACTTGCCAGTAGTGGCAGAGTGAGGGCTTGGTAATCCACCTCTTTCTCCTCCAACAGCTCAGATGGGGCATCAGAGCCTCTGCAAACAGGGAGAGGATGAAATGGGGGGAGGGTGGGGAAGCGGAAGAGACAGGCTGTGAGAGGAGTCCACCCCACAGGGAAGTGGTCACTGTGCACCACAGACAGGGGCTAACGCAGAAAAGGCTAAAAAAGAAAAACAACAAAGGCACCAAGATGGCTGCACACAGCAGGAGCCATCCTGGCCAGGCCCTCCTCGCAGAAGGGGACCGTGCCAGCTCACCCCAGCAAATGCAGGTTGCAGTCGGGGTGCCTGAGACCCTCACACAGCAGCACCACCCCGTGGTGGCCCAGGCGGTTGTCAATCAGGTTCAGTAGGATCAAGGTCCTGCTGCTGGTGAGCACGGTGGCCAGGTCACCGCAGCAGGCTCCCGTTAGGCCGCAGTCCTCCAGCCTGCAAGGGAAGATGGAGGAGGTGTGAGGGGAGCCCCCTTCCCCTCCCCCCACCTCGCCTCTCCCTCTCGTCTTGGGCTGAGAGTTCTGAGTGCACTTCCTGGCTTCCTGAGCTGCACCTGATGGAAACTTGGGGTGCAGTTCCCATGGGGAAACCCTGCCCTGGGGCCTCCGAATGGGGCTGTGCTGGACACCAGAGTCTTTACAGAGGCACAGAGTGAAAGGTGAACATGAGGCTGTGTGATTGAGCTTCTGAGAGGGGAGATTCAGCCACTGGAGACGAGGGAGGGGAGGGACAGGCAAACACAGGCCCCAAGGGGGCCTGGAATCAGCCTCAGACCTGGGCCTCATAAGAGAAGTCAGACATCAGAGTTCTACAGCACCACACTCTGGACTCTGAGCTTTGCACTGCAGCTGAAGTCAGTGAGTGTGGCTGCTGGGCTCAGAGCCCAAGCCCTGCCAGGCTTCTGATGGTCCCTGCCTGAAATCCTAGTGCCGTGGGAGGCTGAGGCAGGAACATCACAGATTTGAGCCCAGCATGGGCTGTGTAGCAACTTCATAAGACTGGGTTTTTGTTTTTGTTTTTATACCAGGAATCGAACTTATAACTGTGCACTTGCCAGACAGGCGCCTGTGCCACTGAGCTATGTCCCGGCCCCATAAGACCCTGTTAAAAGGGCTGGGAATGCAATGCCACTCAGTGTGAAGGTGCTGGGCTCCATCTCCAGCACTACTTAACAGAAGCCCAGTCTTGCAGGTAGGTGACTGCCAGTCCTATCACCCCTAGGGTCCCCAGCTGACAGCCGGCCAGCCTCACTCCAGCAGCGAGGTCAGCTGAGGCCAGATGCCAAGGGAACCCAGCTCTCAGGCTCATGCACACAGGGGAGCACCTGTCCCCCACAGTTGGCCACTGGGCAGACCCAGCCACAGTCGCGGGACCCACCCCAGGTACTCCATGTGGCAGCTGGGCTGTGCCAGAGCCCCACAGAGCAGCTTCACGCCTGTGTCCTTCAAGAGGTTGCCGCTGAGCTGCAGGTTTCTCAGGTTCCCATTGGTGGTGAGGGCGGCGGCCAGGTCTCTGCAGCCCTCCTCCGTGATGGAACATTGCATCAAACTGCAGAGGCAGCAAAGGTACAAGGAGCTGCAGAAGCAGTGTGGCATGGCGTGGCGTACAGCCAGGGACCGCAGTATCACCAGGGAGGAGCTGTCATCACCCTGGCCCTGATCACCACTGAAGCCATGAGCCAGAGTGAGAGTGAGGAGGCTGTGGCCCAGGTGGGAGCCTGGAGCACTAGGCTCGAGAGAGGAGGCCTGGAAGGTGCTGGCTATGTAACCACAGGACAGGAACCTGAGGCTGAGACTCACTGGAGGAGCAGGACCAGCACCCCTCCCAGTATCTGGGGGTCTCAGAGGCTCCCGATCACAGCAGACCTGAGGTTGTGCCCCAACCGCCCCTCTGGGGTATATACCATGAAGGACAGCACAGGACCTGCATGTGCAGTGCCTATACCTTGCTCAGTGACACTGGGAACCCACACTGCATGCAGACACCTGCAGGCATAGCTCCAAGAGCAGGAACTGGGATGGGGACCTTGAAGCAGGGCCCACTGTGGAGAGGCCTCCACGGCAGGTATGTTCGTGCCCAGGTGCAAACAAAATGAGACAACACAAACTACTGAGACACAGGTGTGGAACAAACCTCAGCACTTGCCTGTGACCATCACTGGCCAGTACAGGGAGCTCAGCTGTGGACACCATGGAGAGCTTTTCCCACCAGATGGGGAGGATTTCCCACCCTGTTCCTCACTACAAATAGCTCCACAATGGGATCTATCCTGGATTTGTTTTGTATTTGTTGGTTGGTTTTTAGCTTGGTTTGATTGTGTGTGCACATGTAGGAGCTTCTGCCTTGGCTCTATACATTCTGTGCTATTTTGTCTTTTTATATCAGTGGTTGTTTTACAGGATGATCTAAGCCTGTTTTACTGTTAGCTCATTACTGAGATTTGGTCAGCTCCTTAGCTCTTCTCTCACTTCCCGTTTATTTTCCCTTCTTATCTTCCTTTACTCTTCTTATATTTTCTTCATCTCTGTCTTCCTTTCTCCCTTTTTTGTATAAAACTAGTATTAATATATAAAATTAGTATAAATATTGCTAATGCTAAAATAGAAATATAAACTAGCATTAATATAAAATTAGCATTAATACAGAAAATTATTAAGCAGAATATTGTTACTGTTTATTTTCTTCTTACCTATTGTGTATTAGTATACTCCTTGTCTTTTCTGAGTTCTTTAAACAGTGGAGATCTCTTAAAAGTTCTCAGCTTTGCACTAGTCTATGTGTGGTTTGCTTTTTGGCTCCTGTCTTTGGTAGGTTTCTTCTCTCCCAAAGCAATTTGTAGACCAAACCTCACTGGCAGAAACAGCTGAGAGGGCTCTGTCCTAGGGAGTCACCTCTGGCCCAGGGAATCACAAGGAGAGAGCCACTGGCTGAAGTGACCTGCACGCCCTGCGGGAGACGTCCTTACCTGCTGGCCCGCCAGCCTCAAGACAACACAAGAATCATGAGAAAGTAAGGCAGCAAGACGCTCCAAGGATTCACGACTCTCTAAAAACAGAAACCTGGGGTACCAGATGGGTGAGATCCCAGGAGAAGGATGAAAAGCTGATAGTTACAATGCCCAGTGAGACTGGGGAGATGCACAGAAGTAGCTGACTAAATTAAGGAAGACAGAGCAGGCTGGGAAAGAGATAGAGGTTCTGAAAATAAACCAAGTTGAGGGGCTGTGGATTTAGCTCAGTGGCATAAGCGCCTGCCTTGCAAGTGTGCGGTCGTGAGTTCGATCCCTGGTACTGATAAAAACGAAAAAGACAAAAAACAAAACAAAAAAAAAAAAAACAAAAAAACTAAGCGGAAAAGCCTGGAGATGGAAACCCTGTTAGTTAAAGAAAAACTCAACCGAGCTCTCAGTGGAGCTGGACAGCAAGCTACACACAAACCATCTGAGAGCCCCCGGATTCATGCTCCCAGCCTCAAGGAGGGAGAGGAAATACAGCCTAATGGCACAGAAAGCTGCTCATTGCAGCAGTGGAAATCCCCTAGACCTGGGGAAGAGAAGGACCTCCACGGAAAGGAGGCATCTAGAACCCCACAGAGCCTTGACCTGAAGGGAAACAGCCTGATTCTGAATAAGGAAGGTTGGAAGCTGTCAGAAATGCCAAGTAGCTTACAAGGGCAGACCCATCCGAACAACAGCAGAATTCTCAACAAAAACTTAAAAGCGCACCAGGACTGGGAATGATGTATCCCTAATCCCAAAAGAAAACAATTCTAACCCAGGTTTCCAGACCACACGTGGCTGTTGTTCAGAATCCAAGGACAAGTGAAATCCACACAAACCAAGGAAACTCACGACCACCAAGCCAGTGCTGCAGATGGAACCTAAAGAAACCCTAAGGGTGGGGAAGAACACAGCCACCATCCCGAGACCCGGGGACCGAGCTGGGTGCTTTCAACCCCTCTGCCTCAGCCACAGACGCCACAGCCCACTGGAGGAGAAGGCATGGTCACCTACATCGATCCAAAGGACCCACCACAGCACCTCCAGGCTGCAGGACGGGAATCGCAGGGCCTCACAGAGCACATTCAGCCCCTCATCCCTCATGATGTTTAGGCTGAGGTCCAGGACCTTCAGGGTTCTGTTGGTCAGGAGAACTTCGGCGAGGTAATCCCAGCACCAGTTACTCAGGGAGCAGAAGGCCAGTCTGCAGGACAAACAGGGGAGAGAGGTGCTGCGGCAGGGAGGTCACGTTACAGGGGAGCTTCGTTACCCGACACCCAGGACCTGCAAGACAGACCAGGGCTTGTGGCTTACCTGAAAACATCTCCCTTCTTACATGAAAGAGGGATTAGAAAACAAGACCCATGAAGCAACTCATAAGAAAGACCGCGGTGTGAAACCGCACAGCAAACACCGCTGAGAACACTTAAATTCCAGTTCTAATGCCACTCATGGACAACATGGGCTCTCAGCTCCCCGAGGCTGTCGCTTGCTGGGTTGGAGAAGTGTCTTGCAAAACCCTTGAATTCTTTAATTCTGTTATTCTTGCAAAATCACCCTAGATTCATGGCTTCCTAAAAAGGATGCAGTCCACTTTGGGACATTCATGAGGTACAGAAAAGTATAAAGAGATTGCACCCCAGGGATATGGGATCTATGTATGACCTCGAGATATTTAGGTTTTCTGGCATTTTACATTCTAAAAAATTGTCAACATTTAGACAAGAGTAAAATTTTACGCAAAACCCCCATCTCCAATGTCTACTGCAAACTGAGACTCCTGGCCATAGGGAATCCTAGTCCAGATGTGGCCCCCTGACAGCCAGGGATGGAGGAGCAGCTGCTTTGGGGTGGGGCCTGGGAACTCTGGGTCTTCACACTGCCCTGGCCACCTCCACTGCCCTCCATGAACCTGGGCAGCTGGGTGTTCTCACTGGTGAGAACCGGAACTTGTGTAAAACTAAGCCATCAAGGAGCTCACAGTATTAAATCCTGTTTCCTCCTGCTAAAAATCACATTTGCAAGTCTAGATTTAACACACGCTCTATTTTTTCAATTGTACATTGGCATTCAATAAAATGATTTCATGGTAGTGGTATCTAAATTGTCATCATGGATTGTACTTAATACACACTCTATAGCATTTTCTATGCGTTAAATATTTCGCTACCTTAAAACAATGTCTTTTTTTACCAGCTGCTGGAAAACATTGAGAATTAAAAGTTAATTTGTGCCGGGAGCAGTGGCACAAGACTGTAAGCCCAGTTCTAGGGAGGCTGAGGCAGGAGAATTGCTGTGAGTTCAAGACCAGCCTGAACTGCATAGCAAGACTCTGACTCAAAAAGACAAAAAGAAAGTTAATTTGCAAAGAAACTGTTGTACACTTAAATAATAGGAGTCAAAGAAATGCTGAGATAAGGTATATTATATACTTCCACTTTTTGAGTTGTTTTACTCAGAGTGTATTGCTATAGATCTAAAATTGAAATTAAAACAATTGTTCTACAAGGTTTAGCTTATATTGGAAAGACCTCCTAGATGTTAACAGTTACCACTTAACTACTTCCCAGTTATCCAGCTGTAACTGTATTTTTACACTGAGATGTTTTTGTACTCTAGGCTGTTACCTCTCTGTTGATTTGTGCAATCTCTTCTGACATTTTCACATCACATGGACACACGTACGTAAAAAACTATGTGTGTTACGTATTGGAGCTGAGTAACCAATGGCTCCTCTGTTTTCCTCCTCTGGGTTCTGTGTATTCTGCTTTTCTGAGGTCAGCCCACTTATCTGCCCCACACTCCACAGTAAACAGGGTCACGCAGCCCGGGGACAGCTCACTCTGTGACTGTCCTGAGCACCCTCTGAAAGCCTACTCCCCACATGAGAGGCCGATAAGTGTCATCGGCCCAGGTGGTACAAGTTGCCAAGCTTCTGTTTTATCAGAGACCTGAGAAAGCCACAAGTCGTCCCTTGGCATCTGGGGAGGGGCAGTTTCAGGACCCCTGTGGATGCCAGATCCTCTATGAGACATAGTGAGGGGTTTGCACGGCACCCACGCACATCCCCTGCACACACACTTGAGGTGTATGGTGGCTCGTGCATACAGTGCTGTACATGCTGTGGAAATAACCACCACGCAGGAAATAAAGACAAGGAAAGAAGTCTGGATATGCAGCACAATTTTTACCCAGAATGTTCCTGACCATGGTTGGTGTAGTCCACAGGGGCCCTGCTGTGCGTGCACCACACAGTGTGTAGGACAGGCGTGTGTCCTTCCCTCTCCTGTGTACAGAGCAGTACACAGAGCTGGCAGAGGCCAAAGAACCACTGAAGAGGATGTCAAGCAAGCGTGAACCATGCAGGAGCCCGGGTCTCCCCATCTTAGCTTTTCTACCTCTTCCTCGGTGCTGGTGTTAGACAGAGCAGGAGGGAGCCCAGGCCCAGGCTCACGCTGCCACCCGGCAGTCTCACCCCAGGGCAGCCTCCCGGTCACTTACCCCAGGAGATTCAGGGTAGAGTCAGGGTGGCAGAGAGCCTTGCACAGGGCTCGCACGCCCTTGCCCAGGTGATTGGAGGCCAGATTCAGGTACCTGATCTTCCTGTTGTCCATTAGGATAGAGGCAAAGACCCTGCACTCGTCAGCCTTCAGCTTGCAGTTAACCAGCCTGCAAAGGGAGACAGGTGACACTCCGGTGGCTTCTGTTCCTGCGACGCAGTCCTCTTGCTGACCTAAATAACCCTTCCCCTACTTTTTTTAAACTTTGGATATTGGGTATTTTATCTCAGCAACAAGAAAAGTAACTAAGACAGTTTTCTTACATATTCTACCACGAGCACAAAAACAAAACAAAAAATAAATTGTGAGTAAAAAGATGCCAAATTGTACGTCTCGTGTATCACCAAACTTGAATCTAAAACATACAAGAAAAATCCACACAGTAGCTGTTAGAGGACGATAAGAAAATCAACCTAAGGCTAGCTGGAGTTAGAAACTAGAAGATAAGAGTAAAAATTTTGCTTATAGAAATAATAATGGACAACTTCCCAAGCATGAAGAAAGAATTTGGCACACAGGAAGTGAGGCTTAGAGAACACCAACCAACCATGATGAAAAAGAAATGTCCATGACAACTTACAATTAAAATGTCAAGAAAACACAGCTTTAAAGGCTGTAAGAGAAAAACAAAAAATTCACATAGAAAGATAAATCCATTAGAATCACAACAGGCTTCTCAACACAAACTTTAAAGGTCAAAAGAGTTTGGGGTGAAATGTTTCAAGCCTAAAAGCAAATAAATTCCATGTCACATTAACATGTCAACAAAATTTTCTTTCAAAACAGATGGAGAAATAAGGACATTCCATGAAAAAAAAAAAAAAAAGCAGCTCACAAGATTTATAAACGTGAAACCAGCTCTCCAGAAAATACTCAAGGCAGAAATACTCTCCAGAAAATATCCTAGGCAGAAAAGCTGAAGCCAACAAAGCCAAAAATCCAGATGTAAATATGTATCAAGCAAGGCAACTACAGAAAAAACAAGCAAAAAGAAAAACAGAGGAGTCACTAACAGAAAAACAGTGCAGTAATAACAGTTTTCAGTATTAACTCTCAACATTAATGGCTTCAGTTCTCTGATTTAAAGTCAGAGACTGACAGACTGGTTCAGAACATAGAATGCAACAGTCTGCCAATTCAAGAAACTCATCTAATCCAAAACTAGGTGAGTTTAGACTAAAAATCAAAAGGTATAAAGTAAGGTTCCATGGACCAGGACCCAGTAAACAAGAAAGGGCAACAATTTTACTCTTGGACAAAGTAAAACTGCTCAGAAGAGATAAAGACAGTCATTAGGTACTGGGTGAGAGAATAATCCAATAAAAAAGACAACATTTGTAAATATATACGTGCTGAGTCCTAGGGCACCTACCTTCTTAAAACATACTGATAGACATAAAAGATCAAACAAACACTAACATGGTTACAGAGGATGATCTCAACACACCACTTTCACAAAGAGACACATCCATTAGACAAATCACCAAATATCACACACCTTCGAACAAATGGACTCAGCAGATATCTAGAGTATTATACCTACTACAAAACAGCGCACATTTTCCTCAGAAGCACCTGTATCTTCCTGCTAAGTAGACTGCATATTGGTCCACATCTCCCGCTTATATACATAGAAAAGAATTGAAATCATGTCACATTTACAATCAGACATTGTGCGATGAAGTTAGTAATCATAAAGGAAACCACAAAAAACTTAGAAATAGCTGGGAATTTAATAATGCACGCCTGAGCACCAAATATGTCATAGCAAAAAAACCAAACCATTTTTGAACTCAGCTGATGAGACACACACAACACAACACAAGCAATGAGGTGCAAAGCAAGGAGTCCAACTGGGGAGCTCAGGGGAATCAGTGCTCATGTGGGGGGAAGCCAAAGGGAGCCCAAATGCATAAATTAATGAGGAACCTTGAGAGACTCAATCCAAGCCCATGCTGAAATGAAGGGTGGAAATCACATGGCCAGAGTAGGGATTAATGAAATCAAAACTAAAAAGAAAAATGATGCCAGGAAATAAAAAATCAAATAGCTGGTTTGTTCAAAGAATAGTTGGAAAATATTAAAGAAATATTGCAAGGGTGATTCGATACACTCATTTTCAAGATGAAACCAAGAAGACGTAAAAACTTTGAACAACCCAAAAACAAACAAAAAATAGAGGCAGTAATAAAAAAAGCCTAACAACTAAAAATTTTAAAAAGCCCAGGACCTGAAGAATTCCCTGCTGAATTCTATAAAATCTTTAAGCCTTTATATCCCCATTACACCTCAATCCCTTCAGTAAAACCAAGAGAGAAGGACCACTTCCAAACTCATTTCTGGAAGCCAGCGTCACTCCACCTCCAAACCAGACAAAGAGCCAATCCATAAAGAAAACTACAGGCCAATCTGCTTAATGAACATTAAGCACAAATCTTCAATACCATGCTGGCAAATAAAATTCAACATGTCATCAGCAGGATCATCCATTATGACCAAGCAGGTTTCATCCGGGGATGCAAGGATGATTGATGTACACAAATCAATAAATGTAACTTATCACAGGAACAGAAGCAAGGACCCAAACCACATGACCATATCAATAGGTATAGAAAAGCCTTGTGACCCGATCCAACACCTTCTCATGATAGAACCCTGAAGGAAACAATGATAGCAGGACATTACTTAGATCTGATAAAAGTCATTCGTGACAAACCAATGGCCAATGTCACATTAAATGGGGAAAAATAAAAGCTTTCCTCTAAAATCAGGAATGACACAAGAAAGCCCACCACCACTACACTGTGTCAATATTAGCCAGAGCAACTGGGGAAGAGAAAGAAATAGCAGGGTGAGGTCTAGGAAAGGAAGTGTTCAAATTATCACTTTGCAGATAACACATGATACTCTGCATAGAAGACCCAAAGAATTCCACCAAGAACCCTTAGAATAAACAAACGCAGCAATACAGAAAGATATGAAATCAACACATAAAATAGCATTTGTATACAGTAATCATAAACTCCCTAAGAAAAAGTTAAGAAAACAATACAATGTACAATACATAAAGAAAAGTTAGAATACCTAGGAATTAAATACCTAAACAAAGAAGTGAAAGACCTCCATGGTGAGAACTACAGCACTCTGAAAAAGGAGATTAAAGAAGATATGAGAAAATAGGTGTTTCCTGTTTGATAGGCAGAACCAGTATTGTCAAAATGGTCATAATCCCAAAACTGATTTGCAGATTGAATGCAATGCCAATCAAAATACCAACAGGAAGGAGATGGGCATGCTGGCACACATCTGTAATTCCAGGACTTGGGAGGCTGACGCAGGAGGATTGTTATGAGTTTGAGATCAGCCTAGGATACAAAGTGAGCTCAAGGCCAGCCTGAACTGCATAGAGAGACCCTGTCTCAAACAACAACAACAACAAAAAACCAACATATTCTCCACAGAACTAGAGAAAACAATCTTAACATTCCTATGGAACCAGAAGGGACCCAAAATAGCAAAATCAAGGCTAGGTAACAGGAGCAAAGCAGGAGGCATCATAATACCTGACTTCAAACTATACTACAAAGCAACAGTGCTAAAAATGGCAAGGCACTGGAACAAAAACAGACATGAGGATCAGTGGAACAGGACAGAGGATGCAGAAGCGTCCCAAGACTCATTCAGCAATTTCATCTCTGACAAAGAAGTCAAAAACATACACTGGAGGAAAGATTGTTCAGCAATGACACTGGGAAAATTGGCCATCTGTGCCCAGAAGACTGGGGCAGGAATTACATTCTTCACCAGGTACTAAACAAAAATCAGAGTGGGTCAAAGATTTAACCATTCAAATGGAAACAACCTATTGGAAGATAAGACAGGTAAAACTCTCGAGGTCATAGGTGTAGGCAAGGACATCTGAAGAAGACTCTAATTGCACATAAAAAGTGAAACCAAGAATTGACAACTGGGACTACAACAAATTAAACTGCTTCTGCTCAGCAAAGGAAACAAATAACCCACAGAGTGGGCAAACAATTTTGCCAGTTAAAACAATCCCACAATTCTGTCTTATGCCAGGAAAGATGGCAGTCTTTAAGAAATCAAATAATAACAAGTGTTGGTGAGGCTGCAGTGAACAAGAGACCCTTCAATATTGTTGGTCAGAATGGAAACTAGTACGCGATTATGGAAATCAGGAAATTTCTCAAAGAACTAACAAAACAAACCACTGAACCCAGCTCTTCCCACCTTAGGTGACTTCCCAGATGAACTAATACATTGCATTACAGTGAGGCAGGCACAGCTGTGTGTATGGCAGCATAGTTCTTGACAGCTAAGCCCTGAGAGCAGTGCGCAGGTCCATGGACACTCAGATGGCTAAAGAAACTGTGGTGTTAGACATGATAGACTACTACTAAGCTATAAATATGGATAAATTTGAGGTATCTGTAGGAAAATGGAGAAAGGGGGTCCCTCCTTAGGAGGAGAAAGGGGCCTCAGAAGAATCAAGGTGTGCTCTGCATGTATGCCCACTCCCTGACATGCACATAAACTGTGTCCTGCAAACAGGCACCAGCAAAGTTAAACGTTAAGAGGAAATTATTCAGCCACAGAACGAAGGGCACTAGTGACCCATGTGCAATTTGCAGGAACCCTTGCTAAGGGAAAGCAAGCCTTTCATACAGACTGCATATTGCATGATTCCTGCGTTGCGCAGGATGGGGAAATTCACAGGGAGCAGTGCCCTGAGAAGTTTCCCGGATGGGGGGGCTCATGCTCATGGGCGGGACTTCTCCCCGCGCAGGCTCAGACCCCCCACAGCGGGATGCAGGATGGTTCCTGGTGTCTCCTGAACACACGCTAATTCCACTGAATTTTATACTCCAGCAACATAAGTTGTGTGTCATGTGTATGGTGTCTCTGTGAAGCCACTGTTAACTATGCCGTGGTCTTGCCCAGCATGGACCTGGTGCTGATGAAGGCATCTGATATCACTTCCACCGCCACCACCAAGATGCATCCAGGTCCCCCTGTGGTTCAGAGCACCATCCTGGGGAACATGACCTCACCACATTCCTCATCTGACTCGGCCTATGTGGGGGAGGACCATCCACTCCTTAGGTGTTCCGGGCCTGCCCTGATCACATTAGCACCTGCCTTTCCACAGCTCTTTTGAGCTTGCATCCTAGGGTGGGATTGCTGGGTGAGGCACCTGTTGCATGGAGCCGGATGGTTTGCCGAGGTGGCTGGGCTGGTTCAGAAAGGACTTTCTGTCTTGAGTGCCCAGTCTCCCGTGAGGTCAGAAAAGCACACACACAAACCCCTGTGGCCCACAGGACGTGGCGCCTGGAGACTCACACCAGCTTGTTCACATGGCAGGTAGGGTGGTTCAGCATGTCCCTCAGCCACTTCACGTCCTCGTGGCCCAGCCTGGTGTTGGAGAGGTTCAGGTGCTTCAGGTTCGGGTTATGCATGAGCACCTCGAAGAGACGCCAGCTCTCACAGTGGAAGTTCACATTTGTCATCCTGAAAACCAGGGAGAATGTGAGCAGGTTTCATCAGCAAAGGCCTGGAAGTGTGGCCCGGGACCCGCCTTTGATCACCTCCTCCAATCCAGTGGTCAGTGCACTCTGATCTCACAGCCCGGCTGGGAGTGCAGGGGCTCCTCACCAGGTGGCTTCCAGGTGCAACCTTGGTTGTCACAACCAGAGGAAGCCACTGGCAGCTGGGAGTCAGAACCCCGGGTGCCGCTCAGCGCCCTTACCATGCCTGGGATGGACACCACACACCCCTGCCATGGGAGGAGCTCTGCTCAGGGCCGGAAGTCCATACATAACTTGCAGCTGGCTGGGACCAGAGCTGGGTAGGAATGTCATGGCATGCTCAGGTTGGGCGACCTGACTTCCAACTTACAAGAGATTCTCCAGGATGCAATTGGGCTGGCTCAACTGGTTAAACAGCACAGCGAAGGCAGGCTCGCTGAGGGTGCTGTCTTTCACCCGCAGTGTATGGAGGTGCCCATTGGTGGTGAGCACAGAGCACACCTGGTACCAGTGCAGGAGGTCAGAGTCTGACCTGTGTGGGAAGAAAACAGGGAACTCGGCGCAGTGTCTGCGCCCCATGGGCTCTGTCAGGCAAGTCCCGGGAATCCAGGGGTCTCCCCAGCCACATCCACAGCTGGCCCTGGCGTCACCAAGTGCTTGGACACTCGGCAGGGGGAGGCCAGGGAGGCATCCAGGCTTTCTGAAGTGCCCCCAGCAGGAGGCCGCTGGGCCACCATCTGGGCCTCAGTCAGGCCACTGCCCCACGGACAGCAGAGCCCATGCTGTGGACCCAAGGTCCGGGCAAAGCTTCAGGATTTGCACTCACCCCTCCCGCTCTGTAACCTCGGGCGCCCTCCTTGACCTCTCTGCCTGTGACTGTGATGGACTGTACCTCGGGAAGGTTTAGAGCAAGGGATACTTCAGCTGGTGGGTCAAGACAGAGTCTGAGGTGGGCACAGGGGAGGACAGAAACACCAGCCACGGTGCCTCAGGCAGACCCTCAGAGAGCTCAGAGCCACAGTGGTGCAGGCTCGGCTGGCCGGGTCCTCACAAGGTGAGCCTCACCGCTGTGTGGCTAAGAAAGATGAGGCCCATGGCAAAGGTCACAGGGACAAGGTCGTGGCCCCTCAGCCTAGTTAGGTACTGTTCTCATAGAGCAACTCCGGACACTGACCCCATAAATACGAAGCCTTCAAAGAGTGAAAGTTTACAGAACAAAATTACGTAACTTCAGAGCAGAATCAATGTAGGCCTTTGCCTGCTGCCCAGGACAGGGAAGGTGCTGAGCATGACCAGGTGCTACCCCACCCTCAGCAACACCAGAGCCAGTGGGCAGATCCTGGAACACAGGGAAAAGAAAGTCCCAGAGCAGGCATCCTGATGGGCCACAGTGGGCCCAGAACTCTGGCAGGCTAAGACAGGAGGATCACAATTTTGAGCCCAGCCTGGGAAACAGAGAGATCTAATTCTCAAATTTTGAAAGTAAAAAAATAAAAGTATATTTTAAAAGGCTTTGGGTTTAATTTTCTACTACAAAATAAGGAGAAGATGACAGGGGAGAAGGACCAGGAGAAGGTGAAAGAGGAGGACGGGGAGCAGAAGGTGGAGAAGCTGGAGGATAAGGAAGAGGAGGAACAGGAGCTGGAGGAGGAGGATCAGGAGGAGGAGGAGCAGGAGGAGGAGCTGGAGGAGGAGAAGAAGGAAGAGCTGGAGGAGAAGGAAGAGGAGGAGCAGGAGGAGGAGGTGCTGGAGGAGAAGGAAGAGGAGGAGCAGGAGGAGGAGGCGCTGGAGGAGAAGGAGGAGGAGCAGGAGAGGAGCTGGAGGAGAAGGATCAGGAGGAGGAGGAGCAGGAGGAGGAGCTGGAGGAGGAGGAGAAGGAAGAGCTGGAGGAGAAGGAAGAGGAGGAGCAGGAGGAGGAGGCGCCAGAGGAGAAGGAGGAGGAGCAGGAGGAGGAAGAGCAGGAGAGGAGCTGGAGGAGGAGTTGAAGGAGCAGGAGGAAGCCGAGCTGGAGCAGGAGCTGGAGGAGGAAGAGCTGGAGGAGGATCTGGAGGAGGAGGAGCAGGAGGAGGAGCTGGAGCAGGAGCAGGAGGAGCAGCAGGAGGAGGAGGTCCCCACTGGTGTACTCACTCGGAGCCCTGCCCTTTCTCGCCTCTCGTGAGGACGAGCTTCATGGAAAGGCTGAGCTGCCTCAGGTTGGAGCAGTGCTTTAGGCAGTGGGCAGAAACCTCAAGGTCGGTCCTGCTGGAGATGGGGAAGGTGAGCTCCTGCAGCAGGGCCATGGCCTGCCTGACGAAGGCCTCATCCTGCATCTCGAACAGACAATAGAACAAGGCCAACAGGTGGACCTTCTTGTGTAGGTCTTTGGTCTGCCCCAGGACTTTCAGGCACTGATACAGCTGCTGTTTTACCTCATTGGACAGCTGGAAGCCAAAAAATGTGTCCAGCCTCTGCCTCTCCCTTTCATGCAAGAGACCGAACAGGAAACACCCCAGAAACACCCAGTGTGTCCTGGACTTGTCCAGGAAGGTCAGCAGGAGGTCTTGTGTACCCGCCACGGCTGGGTGCGGGTGGTGGCCAGGGCTCTTGAGCAAGTAGAAGAGGGCAGCGCAGAACTCCTGGATGGACGAGTGCAGGAACTTGTAGCGGGGCTCGGGCCCTCGACACCGCAGCAGGATCCTGAGCTCCAGCAAGGCAGGGAGGTCGGAGTCTGCGATTCCGTTCCTCCTGAGGTCCTGCTCCCCAAACACCATGCAGTTGGCCCACATGCCCTGGACAGCCAGGGAGCACAGGCTGTGCAGCTGGGCCTGGCCCTGCCAGCTGGGGCCCTCGGGCATCCTGGGCGTGAAGAGGTGGAAGAGGAAGGAGGCGTACAGGGGGGTGGACCGCGAGCAGGCATGCGCCATGTCTGCACCTCGGTCCATCTCGAGCTTCAGGACGGTGCTGACCAGCCAGCAGGGCACGGGCAGCCGGCACAGCTCCAGGATCTGTGCATTCTGCTGTATGATGCAGAAGGCCTCCGTGGCCTGCTGCAAGTCTTGAAACACACGGTAGAGGCATTCCTGGATGTCTCTGTTACCGAAGCCCATGAGCATCCTGACCTCGGGGTCGGCCAGCCGGGCCTCCAGCTCCAGCCCAAACTCCATGGTCACCGTGATGAGCAGGCAGCACTCTGGCACCATCTTCCTCTTCAGCAAACTGCTCAGCAGCAGCCGCGGCGGCCGTGCCTCCCCCCAGCCCTGGCACAGCTCACTCTCGGGCTCGCTCAGGTCACACCCCAGCTGCTCCAAGCCATCCACCAGGAACAGGATCTTCTCAGGGTGCGCCAGGATCTGGCTCACAGGGGCCGAGGCATCGGGCCAGGTGCTGGAGATCAGCTCCGCCAAGCTCGTCACTGGCAGGTGCTTCAGTTCCTGGCAGCAAAAGTAGAAGATGTAAAAGAACCTGTCCAGATAGAGGTGGCCCCTGGACCAGGCCAGCATGAGCTTGGTCAGGAGATGGGTCTTCCCAGATCCTTGTTTTCCTCTCAGGAGTACAGTGTGGACCACCTTCCCGGGTGTCTTGGGGGTGAAGAGGGATTCCACATATTGGAGCTCGTCCTGGATGATATTCTCATCATAGCTTTTGTGGATTGCGGGGATGGCTTCCTTGACCAAGATACTGCAGAATTTCTCCCGCACATGAGCCTGATACATCTTGGAATGACCTGGGCCAGTGAGCACGAGAAGGACAGAGACAGATCAGAGTTAGATTCTCAGGCGTGTCTGCGCGGGCCCTACCTCTCCACCTTCGGGTGCATCTCCCCAGGGTCCCTTCACACCCTGGCCACCTCGAGGGGGCGCTGTGTTCAGCTGCCCTCCTTCATCATGGCAGAGCTGCACAGAGTGACTGAGGGGCACTGCTGGACACAGCTGGGCAGGAGAGTGGGCGGAGAAAACTCAGAAGTAAGTGCCCAGAAGACAGCACAGAGACACAGGGGAAGGAAATACAGAAGAGAACAGGAGAGCCAGGTGAGATGCAGCATAAGGACCACTGCATGCAGCTGGAGAAAGCAGGGGGGATGGGGAACGTCTGAACCCTAAAGGCTGAGGGTGAGAGCTGGGGCACGTGGCGAATTTCGAGCAGCCTGGACCGAGAGCGCCACACCTGGATGAAGGACCTCCTGGTCGGTCGTTCATGAGAGCCGTCGCCTCATCTGCCCTTGAGATCTCAAATGTGCAAGGTAAGTCCTGCCTCTAAGCAGGGTAAATTCCACACAACTCGTGTGGTTGTGGTGCCTTTGGGTCTCAGCTTCTTGTCATAAGCATCTGCTTTTCAAATATGCAATGCATGCACAAGTGACCCTGCCCAGGAAATGTTCAGCACCACATCTCACGACTGTTGGAGGACCTATGCAATTGTGCTACAGATCCCGAGGTCACGGTGGTCTACAGCAGGGGCCACTGGCCCTGGCTGCCATGCCAGATCTTAGCCTGATATAAAATGACTGAGGGTGGAGGGACAGTCCCTCCCCGTTGTACCGCAGGCCACCAGGACTGCATAACACTGTCCCTCCCTTGGCTTCCCCATGGCACCTCCTGCCCCCACGGTAGATGGCTTGGTGGCTTCTGCCACATTGACCCTAGCCTCGCCACATGCAGCTGTGTCCCCTCTCCCACATCCCCACGCACCAGTGCTCTCCCTTGTGGCCCTCTCGCAGAGGTCCTGCCTGTCCATCCTCTGGAAGACCCTAAAGGTCACATCCCAGGCCTGCTGCTCCTCATAGTGCTCAAGCAGCAGGCTGGCCAGCTCTTCCCGTGACGCCCTCTTCACCTCAGCCCAGGGGATCTGCCTGAGGCCGAGCTGTGAGGTCTCCTGCTTGAACAGCTCCTTGAACCTCATGAATTCCTTCTTCTTGAGCTCCTGCAGGTACCACATGAGGCCAAAGTCGGCAAAGAAAGGCGATGCCATCTCGTCCAGGCAGAGAGGTCACCCTATAGAGGGATGACCACAGGATCGACAAGGAGCCTGCAGAGAAGCCAGGGCGCAGAGTTACCAAGAGGTCACCCCACTGGTGACAGGGTGCCGGCAAGGTGAGGGTGGGGAGTTTAACCTCTCCTTTCTCACGGGGATGCTCATGAAGGCCGAGGCACCTGAAAAACCTGCGTGAGGGAGATTCCATCCCCCAGAGAATAATGTCAAACCCAAATCTGATGAGTCCGGGGAAAAGAGAGCAGAAACTCCCCAGGTTAGGGCCCAGAAGCGCTCCCGATGAGGCTGTAGTGTCCAGTGCTGGGTTCAACAAGCCATAGGCAGTCAGCTATGCCCAGCTGCCTGTTACGGATTAAGGAATCCAGCTTTCAGGCAAAGGCATGATAAGCGAGCAGGACCTGTCCTGGGGAAAAACAGATGGGGAAAGAAGACAGGGGACTCCTGGATTCACCTGGATGTCTTGTCTTTTTAGTATCAGAACTCGAACTCAGGACCTCACGCTTGCCAGACCGGATGCACCGCTGAGCTATATACCCAGCCCTGGCACGTCTGTAATACAGAAGTGAAAATAGAGTTAACTACAAGAAGCGGGAAATCTCATTTTCCTCAGCAAAGAACAGAAGCTATATTTCTTCGAATAAGTCAACGTAATGGATAAGAATCGTATTTTCTAACAAATGGTGCCAGCACCAGCAGAAGTCCACGTGCAGGGAAAATGAATTACCCTAGTCTTGGAGATCACCTCCCATCGGCCAGCAAGATGGGCAGCCAGGGGAGGTGGATGTGAAATCTCAGCCACTGCCTCGGAGGAGACCACAGATGCCAAATCACAAACAGTTAGCGGTTGGAGGTCATTCATCAAAGGGTCCAGGACCCGCCGCACACCTCTGAACAGAGCGAGGGGGCCTGAGATGGTACCCATCCACTGCCAACCAGGGTGCAAAACCGTGGAGATCCCCGCTCAGTGTGGCCGCGATGTGAGCAGTCATCGCCACGGGAGAGGATAGATGGATTCCCGGCCTCTGCAACTACGCAAAAATAAATGAGCCGAGTGTGGCAGGGCACTCTGGGAATCCCAGCACTCGGGAGGCTGAGGCAGGAGGATTTTTGCAAGTTTGAGACCAGCCTGGGTTACCAAGTAAGCTCAAGGCCAGCCTGAACTGCATAGTGAGACCCTGTCTCAAAAAGACAAAAATATATTTATGTGCATGGTTGAGTGTGTGCTGCTTACTTTGTGATGGCAGCCTGACCTCCAGGAATCCACACACCCAGCAGCACCCAACACCCAGCACCCAGCCCAAGGTTCACAAGAGTCCTCCAGCAGCAGGTGGCCAGCGGGGCAGCGTATCCTAGTCAGGGATAGCGCTGAGCAGAGCGCACAGCACGGCACAGACACACTCCATGCTGCCCTGGAACTTCCCTGCGTCTAACGCAGTTCCTAAGAAAATTCAAATGAAGGGCAATACACACACACACACACACACACACACACACACACACACACACACACAGGTGTACATGCCCGCGGGCACTGCCCTGGGGATTTTCACAGAATCCTGAAGAGGACACCAAGAGACCCTTCTTCTCCAGTTCACATGGAAGACTCACGACCACTGACCCTGTCCCAAGCCACGAAAAGCACATCTGAACACAAAGCCAAAAGGCAATAGAGGGAGACCTCCTTCTGTGTCCTCACACAACACAGCTAGTGTCAGTGTCAGTGCTGCACTAATATCAGTGGGATGATGACAGAACATGGTGGGAAACCAAACAAAACTTCAAACTAAGAATAAAATAAAATCTCATTCACAGGTGATCATTTGGGGAAATTTCCCCCAATAACAGAGACTAAGTGATCTGGATTTTTTTTCTTTGTCTTTTTTTTTAAAGGATAATTTGCTTTTTTTTTTTCTTTTTTAAATTAGGACTAGAGGTACCCACTTGTTTATTTATTTACTTTTTGGTACCGGGAATTGAACTCATGACTTCATGCTTGCCAGGCAGGCGCTTACACCACTGAGCTAAATCCCCAGCCCCTTCTTTGTCTTTTGAGACATGGTCTTTGTCTCACTGTGCAGTTCAGGCTGGCCTTGGGCTCCCTTGGTAGCCCAGGCTGGTCTTGAACTTGCAACGATTCTCCTGCCTCAGCCTCCCAAGTGCTGGGATTACAGGCGTGTGTCACACACCCGGTTTTGGAAAAAATTAAAAATAAATCAATACACTCAAAGACCTAAATAGTAGGGAAGTTATTACGCTCTCTGCAGAACAGGAACACAATTACCAAAACCGTCCCCTGTAGCTTCTGCCTGGGGGGCCTCTCCCAACAGCATTTGAAAACCTGCTCAGTGAGATGCTGAGTCCCAGTCACTGGGACCTGCTTGCTCCCCCTGACCCAGGATCCTGCTCTGCAGCCATGGCTCCCCCATGCTATCAACTGGTACCACTACCCATGCTGTCCATCTGGGAAACCCCCCAGTCCATCCTGGCACACGCTGCAGCTTGGGAGCCGATAATTCAGAGCATGATTTAGGAGGAGAACACTGGCCATGCTTTATTCCGAAACTTCCAGACCTAGGAAGGAGTCAGGATTTTCTGGATGTGAAGACAGAGGCAAGAAGAGATTGAGGTCAGAGCAGGACACCTCTGAGAGCAAGGGCACAGATGCCACCAGCGGTGCTACAAATCCTCCCCTGTGCCCCTCAACACCTCTCTGCCACCTCCACCAGATCACCAGAGCTTTTCCCAGCTCCAGTGTGATATCACATGCAGTCTACTGATAGCAGATGTGTTTACTTGTGTAGAAGCCCCGTGTCAAAAATCACACTTAGAGCCTCAGGACTGAACTTGTGCGGAAGCACAGCCTATGGGGAGGGGCTTGCTCAAGCTGAGGTCCCACCGGGGTAGCAGGGGCCCCTAATCCCTTATGATGGATGCCCTGATTACCAAGGTGGATGTGGCACAGTGAGGGCAGGTGGATGTAAGGACACAGGGGGCAGACAGAGAACATCTGAAGCTACAGATGCCAGTGGAGATCCTCAGGCCCGAGTCCCCTCAGGTCCCCAGAAGCAGTCAGCCCTGCCAGCACCTTGATTCTGGACTCCAGCGCCATAAGACCCTAAACCCTGTGTCCAGGCCACTGTGTTTGTGGGTCTTGGTTGTGGCAACCCCAGAAAAAACCACCATGCATCAACAGAGAATTAGAAAGAGATCACCGCTGACCCAGAAGGCAGGTGAACAGAAGTCATCTCAGATGAATTAGAGAAGAAAAGTATGAAAAGCACAGAAGAGAGGAGAAGAGACTGAGGATGAGAAGCTGAACACCTTCATGGAGCCCAGGAGGAGAGGAGGCAGTGGTATGGAGGGAGCACACAGATGGATATCCCTGCCCACCAGCTTGTCAGTTTGTGACCACAGGATAGTGGGACACTGCACCCACTAGGCTGTCCTGCTGCTCACTTCTAGCAGAGTTTCTGGCACATGGATGAGGCTGCTGGTGCTTATGGTGGGGTTGCTTTGCGTGGACTGGTCCTGCCCCTGCCCAGTGTGGGTGGCTGTGAGTGTTCTGAGCATGTTCAGATAGGCTGGGTTTGGCAGTTAGGTGAGGGTCACTTCTCTGGGGTTCAGGATCCGCCCAGGGACAGTAAAGCACACGTCCAGGGGCCCAGATGATCGTGGTAGCACAGCCTTGAGGTCTGCCTGGAGCCTGGCTCCCTGATCTCCAGCACAGTTTTGCACTCTGCCTGCAGCCACTGTGAACTACACAGCGTGGCTCTGGCACACCCTCCGCCATGTTGCTGCTGCCTTGGGGCCCGTGGACCATGGACTGAGTCCTGTGAGACAGTGAGCCATCTTCAGCCTCTCCTGCCCTAAGCTGTGGGTGTCAGGATGGTGGCTCCCAGAAAGGAAAGCTGGCAGATACACGGAGCTGAGCCTTGAGGTTCCCCAGCCCTGGGTATCAACTGCATTTCCAGTCTACGGTGAAGCTCTCAGCTTGCAGTGGGCGTATCAGGAAGTAGCCTTGTGGCTAAGGGGTGTATTCATTGGAAAAGACAACTGGAAACTTTTCATTACCAGGTGAAATAAACCAGTCCACTAACCAAGAAGCCCAGGGGGTACATTACAAACCCACACTTAGACTCATGGTGGAGAAACCAAGGATTAAATGAGAAAGGTAAAGATCTGGGGAGCAGTTAGGTGGTCCAGGGCAGCAGAGGGCAGCCCTTTCGCTCTGGAGTAGGGTAGTCAGATAGCAGCGACCTTCTCAATGCTACAGAAAGGAGCAACCCACAGCAGATATGCAACCAGAATCATACCACCATCAAGAAGGAATGGTAGACACTTGCAGGTAAACAACGCTCCCAGCAGCAGACGTACGCGATAACGCATCCTAAGCAGTGGCCATTGGAGAGAAAGGAAGCAACCCCTAAGGAATCTGGAGAAGCCTCCGTGAGCTAATACAGATGCTGTACTACACTTATGAGCTATGGAACAACTCAAATTTGTCACTGTACTGAGAATAAAGGATACCAGGTATACTCAGGGTCCAGTTGGGGAGATGACGGAAGTAAAACCTTGATATTAAACTCTGATAAACCCAAGAACTGGTGAGACTCTGACCTCACCACGAGGGTTTATCCGCCAAAGTGCATCAAGGGAAAAGGATGTTTAAAACTAATCAGAAAATAGCAAGAAAGGACAGAAGTAGGGACAGGGGATGGAGAGACAGAGCATATCGGATTAGATAAAAGCAGAAACCAATACGCATCCTTCGAAGAGACATTTTTTTTCCCCAAAAGCACAGAAAATGAGATCTATGAAAAAACACGGGTTCTGACCAAAAGTGCCAGTGTATGAATATCAGTACCAGAAGGGCATGTGCCAGCCAAACCCAGGAATAAATGCAGACAGTGTAAGATCAGAAGCTTTTCAAGTCACCAGGAAGAGAGAACACCATGCTTGTAGCAGCAGTTATATTATGGCCTGAGAACGCATCACTGTCAGAAACACCAGGAAAACTAAGGCTACAACCATAGCAGGGTGTTTTAACAATCTGCTCCCAGAAGTAGCCCAACAACTTAAAACAAGCATAAAAAGCTAAAAGAGAACAGATTTTCACATGTATGCAGATCGCTGCACTCAGCTACAAACAGGTTTCTGAATCATTTGTAAGTATCAGCCCTACAGTGACCCTTGGGTAAGTTTCAGCAGGTTTCGGGTACCAGAAGTCCTGCAAAATAGCATAGTCATAGTTTAGGTCAGAAATCAATGGTGAAATGATCTGAAGATGCCAAGACTGAGAAATATGTTCCCAGGAATATTGACAAGGAAATTATTATGAAATAAAGTACTGTAAGTAAGATTTAAAACTGGGAGTAGTGATGAACGCCTGTAATCCCAGCACTTGGGAGGCTGAGGCAGGAGCACCACTGCAAGTACAAGACCAGCCTGGGCTACAAAGTGAGCCCAAGGCCAGCCTGAACTGCATAGTGAAACCCTGTCTCAAAAAGACCAAAAAAAAATCGAATGGAATGATATTTCCTGTTATCAAGCATGCACATGAGTGGGGTGCAGCCCCCCCCCCCCGGGGGGAAGACAAGAACACTCTGCTTAAGGTGTGAAAGAGAAAACTCGAAATCTGCCGAGCAGAGTATGTGCTTAACAAATCCACCAGAAGAAACAGGAGAAAATAATAACAACACCGTGAGCTTCAAGAGTCCTAGCCAGGGGGTGTCTAGAAAGACAGAGAGTCCGTTTGAGAAGCCCCAGGGGATTTGAGGGGAAGAAAGCCCAGCGGCCACCAGCATGAGAGAGGGGACTGTCACACACCACACACCTGGGCAGCTGGCATACAGCAACATCGTGGCCTTCAAGCCAGACCAATGACTCTGTCCAGAGACGCACAGACCCTTAGGAAGCATGGCTTTCCCTTTGTACATTTTGGGTAAAGCTTCTAAAACTAATATCTCCAGGTGAAAAGAATCCTCTCCCACCCCAAAGACTTTGACTCAAAGATCCTCATTGGTCAATTATCTAAACTGAAACCAGAAAGTATTTGCCCACAGCATGCAACCCCCCCACCCTGCCATGGCCTTGGCTTAAGCTCTTTAGGGCACAGGGTGGATACGGGAAGATGACAAGTTTAGTATGAGAGTCCCAAGGTCCCTGTATGAGAGTCCAGACGTCCCTGTGCTCCTGTGAAAACAGATGCAAAATGACATGCACAGACACGAAATGTAGTCACAAGGTCTTTGTGTCACATCAAAACTTTACAGCCACACGCCTGAAACAGGTGGTCAGTTTGGAAGGACATGGGTCATTAGGGGGACCCCGCCTGGTCTGGGAAGACTTCATTTTATTTATTTATTTTTTTTTTTAAAGCCAGTCAAATTTAGCAGTGGGGGAGTGGTATACCAATTTTAGTGACACTAATGTTAATAACTTCTGATAACCCACTGCCATCAGACCAGCCCATTTTATTCATTTTTTATTTTTTGTCTTTTTGAGACAGGGTCTCGTTGTGCAGTTCAGGCTAGCCTTGAGCTCACTTTGTAGCCCAGGCTGGTTTTGAACTCACAGTGATCCTCCTGCCTCAGCCTCCCGAGTGCTGGGATTACAGGCGTGAGCCACCACACCCGGGAACCTCATTTTAATGAAGTCAATTAACTACAGCTTTTCTCTGCAGTGCCAGGACCTGGACTTCACCCTGAATTTTTAGGGCTGGGAATGCAGTTGAATCTGTAACAAATGATAAATATCAACGTGGATGGATGCAGAAAGACATCCTGTTTGCACACACCCACGTCGCAGAAGGTGAATCTTGGGGTGTCACAGCCCCGAATCACATCCCCGAAGATCCCACCATGGGCCCACACAGCCCTCCCACACCTGGCTCCCCGGGGCCTCGAGCTCTGCCAGGCTTTGCGCCACAGGTGCTGCACATCTAATGCAGCCGGTGCTCCGAGCTCCTCCAGCCGGAGATTCCCGAGCTGCCCTGTCCTCTGGTGTTTGAGACCCCCACCCTTCCCTCGCCTGGGCTCCAACCCAACCGATAGAAGTCATGGAGTTTGCGTCCCATCCGGAGAAGGACAGAGCCGGTGCCCAGTCCTGCCGGGGATAAGCTCTGGAAAGTGCAGTGGTTTGCCCCCAGCTAGGGTTAAATAGCACTGCAAAGGGCCTGGGGTCGGGACACCACGGAATCTTTCAGGGTGGGTCAGAAGGGCGGCCACGCAAGAAGGAGGACTCGAAGACCCACAGCAGCACAAATCCAGGCCCGAGGCCCGGAGCAGAGAAGCGCAGACTCCCGCCCCCACTCACCGCGCAGGTCCAGGTGCGCCCAGTGGTCCATAACGGGTGGCTCTGGCGGGGAGCAGAAATCGTCTGTGAAGCCAGCTGATTGGCTAGTGAGTTCCTCTTCCCATTGGCCCAGATGGCTTCGCAAGGTAGAAATCCTCAATGAGAAACTCTAGCAATAAATAATTCCCAAGGATTTATTGATTTATTTTATTTATTTTTTATTTATTTTGGTACTAGTAGGGATTGAGCCCAGGGCCTTCTCAGTGAGCCACATCCCTGCTCATTTGAAATTTTTAAATTTTAAAACAAGGTCTTGCTAAGTTGCTAGGGCTGGGCTCAACCTTGCAATCCTCCTGCCTCTGCCTCCCAGAAGGCATGTGTTATGGGCCCAGGATTTCACAAGTGTTAAGTATCTTTTGTTACAGTGTGTTGTTAGAATGGTTCTGCTTTATATGAGTGTTGTGCTTAAGTCATAAGTTAACAGTTTTTCTATAAGTTTGTGGGGCAGGACTTTGCACAGATATTCAAACGTCTCAGATAATGATGTCCCCCCTCCTCTGAGCCACCTGTGGTGCCATGGGGCTGGCTCTGCCGTGCTCCAGCCCAGGGCTGCAGCCTGGTGCTGAGCTGAGGGTGCACTCAGTACTGAGGGCATCTCTTGGGGTGCTTCCTGGCCCCTTCTTTCCCAGCTTGTGAAGTTCTGAGGTCCATGTTCCACATCTCGGTGACTCTGCCCAATGCCAGCATGGCCCTCTCTTACCCTCTGTGCCCAGCACTGCAGGAGGCAGGCACAGATCCCAAGTCTCCCTGCAGACCCTGGGGCCTCCAAAGCCCCTGTACCGCCTGCCCCTGGCAGCAGCTTGGTCCATGTGTCCTTAAGGAACCCCTTGGGCTTGGGTGGCCTGGGTTCCCTGACTGGGTAGCAGCGCCAGGTGGAACTGCATTCTTCTCCCACTGTGAACTGGGTCCCCAGGAGCCCGGGAGTCACAGAGGACTCAGGAGCTAAGCACAGGGTGGGCGACATGGGCTCTTCCCACTGTGGCTCTTTGGGAACGGGAACCAGCCAAGGGGACCCGTGTTGGGCCACAGAGCTCGCTCTCTGGCCAGCGTGCTTCTTTGGCTGTGACAAGACCTTTCCTCCTGTCCTAGCCAGGGCTGCTTGGCTTCTGAGCGGTTCTAGCCAGACTCGTCCTGCTTGGTATTGAGCTGAGGGTGCACACGAGGAGCTGCTGACCACCGGCTGGGCTGTGGCTCCCTGGGCAGAGCCCTGGCCCTTGGCTCTCAGTTCTGGGGAGCTGGGCAACTGGAGGGCCAGGGCTTCCACCTCACAGGGGTGGTTGTTTCCAGCCCTGGGCTAGGGCCCGCCCTGTGGGCCTCAGCATAGCCCTGCTTAGGAAGGTCAGCACTGGGGGGCCCCGTGGACCTCAGTGTGGAACGAAAGCTTCCTGACCCATCTAGCCGCGACAAGTGATCCGGCAGAGTTAGCACTGCTCTCCAGGTCATGAGTCTCTTTCTCTGAAGTTTTACTTCTGTTGCTGCCTGTTTGCAGGGCGCAGTAACCACACACTTCCCTGTGGAGCGGGTAGTGGACCCAGCATACCTGTCTGTAGCCAGTTGGCCCCTCCTTCCACCTCTCTGTCCCCTTCCTTCTTGGAAAACAATTATCTCGTGCTTTTCAGTTATCTAGCTTTAATTTTCTCCTCAATTTACTTACATTTTGGGTGTTGGGTCACAAAGCTTTTGACTCAAACCGAGGCCCAAAGTGACCCTGAGGCGCTTCCTGTCCTGATGCCCAAAACAGGGGAACTGAAGGTGCATTCATTTTCCTCCAAATAACTCAGGCCCATCCTTCTTTATGGCAAAGTAGTACTCCATCCACTGGGTAATCCCACACTTTCTTTGTTCATTCATCTATTGGTGTACACACAAGCCATTTCCAAGATTCAGCTATTGTGAACTGTGCTGCTGTACACATGGGTGTGCACAGATCACTATAACATGATATCTTCAGCTCCTCTGGAAAGATGCCTAGAAGGGGAATAGCTGGGTCAAATATAATTTCTACTTTTAAATTTTTTGAGGAATCTCCATTCTTGTTTCCAGGGTAGGCATATGAGCATCCATTCCTTTCAAAATGTAGAAAGATTCTTTTTCCCTAAAGCCTTGCCAGCATTTTGTTAATTGTAGGAATGCTCTCAGGTAGCTTCTGAGGAATTCCCAATGATGCCCACCTGTTCTGGAGTAAGGTCGAGCCTGTGTTGGTTTAATTTGTTTTTCTCTAACAGCCAGTGTTGTCAAGGTTGTTTATATATTTATTGGTCACTTGTGTGTCTTCTGAGAAATGTCACTTTTTCCAGTTGTCTATCTTCTATTGTTTTTATTTGGAGGATCTAATTGTTTGAGTCCTTTATTCTATTATCCCTTTGTCAGAAGTGTGTCTGACATAAGATTTTTCCCATCCCTAGGTTGTCTCTTCATTCTGTTGGTTGCTTCTTTTCCTGAGCAGAAACTTTTAAAACTTGATATGATCCCATTTGTTCAATCTTGGTGTTGTTTCTTGTGCAATTGGGGTTCTGGTTTAAAAAAAAAGTCCTTGCCTATCCTGGGCAACAAAGACAGGAGGCATCACAATCTCCAACTTGAAATTATACCTTAAAGCTACTGTGATAAAAAACAGTGTGGTACTGCCAAGAAACAGACCTAAAGATCAATGGAACTGATTAGAAGATGTAGAAACGACTCCAGACATACTAAGCCTTATCTTTGACAAAGATGTCAAACACATTCACTGGAAGAAAGGCCCTTTAATAAATGATGCTGGGAAAACAGGCTCTACATATGCTAAAGATTAAAATTGGACCCATATCTTTTACCATGTACTGAGCTACAATCAGAATGCCACAAAGATCTTAATATTAAGACAGAAACATTAAATCTGCTGGAAGATAGAGGAGGTAAAACTCTTGAAGACATTGGTGTAGGCAGACTTTATGAACAGAACCCCGATTGCATAGGAACTATCTGAAAGAATCAACAAATGGGATCTCAGCCTACTGCAAAGCTTTTTCACAGTAAGAAACCACCAACAGAGTGAAAAGACAACACACAACATGGGAGAGAATGTTTACTAGCTGTTCCTCAGATAAACGATTACTATCAGAACATATGAAGAACTCAAAAATATCAGTCCTTCCAGATTTAAAGACTCAATCCAAAAATGGGCATCTGAGATGAATACATACTTCCCAGATGAAGAAGTATGAACAGCAAATAAGTAAGTGAAAAAGTGCTCAGCACCATTGGTCATTAGAGAAATGCAATTCCGCCTCAACCCAGAAATCAAGCAATGACAAATATTGGAGGAGCTAAGGAGAAAAATGAGCCCTTCTGCACTATTGGTGGGAATGCAGACTGGTGCAACCACTGTGGAAATCAGTGTGGAGATTCCTCAAAAAACTAAGGCTGGAGATGCCATTTGACCCAGCTGTTCCCCTTCTGGATATCTTCCCCAAAGAATTAAAAACAACACAGTGATATATGTGCACCCATATTTATAGCAGCACAGTTTGTAATAGCCAGATCTTGGAAACAACCTGTGTTGGGAGCAGGAGCCAGGGGTCCGGCAGTGAACGGGTGTGGAAAACCACACACTGAAGCTGGACCTCAACCAGTTCCTCATCCTGCAGTAACCTCAGCCTTCTAGACAAAGCATCGTGCTGATATTAACCTGGGAATAGCTTCATAACGTAAACAATAAAAGTTTCTCATGGGCCCAGGAACATGTTTGCCTCCTGGGCTGCACAACATAGAAGTTTCTCACTGGCCCAAGAACATGTTTACCTTTGCTGTATGCACAAGAAAGTGTCCTGAAGTGACTTGTACTGCTCTTTGCTTTGAAACATTATAAAAACTCTGGAGTCCTTCAATAAATCACCTTTTGCCTCCTGAGCAACTGGTGTCCCTGTGTCTTCAGTCTCTCGCCTGACTCCTTCCCCACACTGGCCACGGCACCTGGCATCTGGCGCCCAACGTGGGGCTTGGAATATAAGCATTCGGAGCATTCTTCCAGTGGAAAGAGAATCGGGAGTTCCAAGAAGACCGCTGCTACAGACGACCCGGGTAAGTGAAAAGTGAAAGTAGCAGGGAGTGGCAGATAGTAGCAGAGAGTGGCATATACACAGGGATTGAGAATGGGTAACTCCCCGTCATTAGTCATTAGAACGGGAACTTTTTGAACAAGTTATTTCCTCTTTGTTAAAGAGTAGGGGCATTCCTGTAGCTAAGCTCCAAATTCATCGGTTTGTTGATTTTGTGCCTCAGGTTTGCCCCTGGTTTCCCGAACAGGGAACGGTTAATGTTGAGACTTGGAAGACAGTAGGAGACAAGATTAAGGATTATTATTGTGCTTGGGGTCCTGAGAAGGTTCCTATGGATGTGTTTCCGATTTGGACTTTAATTAAGGACTGTTTAAAAGGGGACTCTGAGTCTAGTAAATGGGAAAAAAGAACTCGAGAAATTTTTATAAGAAAAACCAAATCCTCAGAGAATGTGGCATCCTCCTTATACCACGCCCCTGCCCTCTGCTCCTCCACCGCTCTCTGAGCTGCCCTGTTACGAGCAGCCCAACCTCCCTACAACTAACAAAATAAACAATAGGCCTGATGATTTACAAGTCAATAACCCTGATGGAGAAACTGATTCAGATTCAAATGAAGAATTAGGTCTGAAAAATGGGAAGAGTTAGAGCATGAAGCCTGTCAATATGAGCATCAACATGAGGCTTTCATGCTTCAAGATCAGGCAAACCCACAATGTAAAGAACCAACAGAGGGCCTAGAAAACTTGATTGAAACATTTAAAAAAAGAATTGTCTGATATAGCTAAGCAGATTAAAAAGTTATCTGAGGCTAATTTAAGGGATCAAAAGCATAAAGGTTGTAGTACTTCTTCATTGGCAAGGCCTTTGTTTGATCGATATGAAACTTCTACTACACCTCTTGTTGCTTGAGTAGGATTTAGACCAATGCCTTTATTGCCCCCACTTGTGCCTATACGTCCTGTTGCACCTTCAGCGATATCC